GGCAATGCGCACTACCCGAAGGATAGACATATTTGAAACACGGACTTGGGGGCGGGGAACCAAGGGCAACACACGTAACCTAAACATCTGTACCATGGGGAGGGAGGCGGGAGGAGGGGGGAGGAGGGAGAAGGGGACGGGTATTTGTGTGCACGGGGAGTGCGGTGCGCACTACCCGGGGGATGGACATATTTGAGGCACGGACTTCGGTGGGGGGGGAACCAAGGGCAACACGCGTGGCCTAAACATCTGTGCACCCATGGTTTGCTGAAATAAAAAAAAAAACCTTATACCAGAAATTCAAGTGTCTGTTGTGTAACTTTGAGTAAAGCAGCCAATTTGTGCATTTAATGAGGTAAAGGCCTGTTCTGGTCACCTCTGGGGACAGAACTTGAACCAGAGTTTGGGAAGGACATAACTGGTTTTAATATAAGGCAGATCATAATTCCCAGAGTTGTTCATCACTGGAAAGAGTGGCTTTGTGAGGAACTGATCTCCATGTTAGTCAAAACATTCAGACAGAGTTTGGATGGTGATCTGCTAGAAAGAAGTGTCTGCTCTGCGTAGGAGACTAGATTCTGTTGTTAGCCTTCTTTTAAGTACAGAAGGTACTCTAGTTATCCATTGCTGTGTACCAAACCACCCCAAAACTTAATGGTGTAAAACAATAGCAAGTATTTATTTTGTTCACAACTCTTCAATTTGTGTAAGGCTAAGCAGGGTTGACTCTGCTCAATGTGGCACCAGCTGTGGCAGCTTGACTGGTGGCTGAAGGATCTGCTTTCAAGATGGCTTAACCACATAGCAGGCTGGGAAGTTGATGCTGGCTTTCAGCTGGGGCTGAGGGCTAAGCACCTCTCCATGCAGCCCTGGCTTCCTCACAGCATGGTGGCTGGGTTCCAAGGGTGAGCATCCTAAGAGACACTGGCAGAGGCTGCGTGGTTTTTTCTAACTAGCTTCTTAAGTGAATTGCTAAGTCATTTAATTTGACTTAAGAATGTGGTAGCATTACTTCTGCCACATTCTGTTTATTGAGGCAGTCACAAATGCCCACTCAGGTCCAAGAGGACCTCTTGATGGGAAGAGTGTTAAAGAATTTGTCAATATGTTTTAAATCCTCTACGTAAGTTGTTTAAAGGAAAAAACTAGTTCTTTATTAATTTTAAAAATAGCTTTTTGGAGATATAATTCATATACCATACAATTCACCCATTTAAAGTGTACAGTTCAATATTTTTAGTAAGTTCACAGGGTTATGTAGCCATCACCATGATCTAATTTTAGAACCTTTTCATCCCTGGGAAAAGAAACCCTGTACTCATTAGTAGTCACTCCTATTT